AAAAACCCCCAAAAACCCCAAACAACAAAACAACAAACAAACAAAAAGGCTTTTCCCAAGGTCATGCAGGAAATAAACGGAAGTAAATCTTGGGCTTTTCTGCCTCCAAAGCCTGTAGCGTTTCTACCATACCACAACATTTCTGTATTGTACATGTAAGAACATATATTCACAGATGAATAAGTTATGCTCTGAAAAGAGTCTAGCCACTCTCTGCTATTTGCTAAAAAAAGGAGACTACACAGTTAATACATTTAAAACAATATTTCTACTTAGATTTGAAAAATGTTTTTATGCTTTGGAAGTGTCTGATAGTCTGAGAATCTGCAGATAATCCTTGTGCCGTCCATCTTTTGATTTTAGAAACAGAAAACATCAGCTCTCAGGAAGATAAAAGGCATCAGCAAAGCAGGCCTGGCCGCTTGCTTCATGGCACCGTTCTCCGGCTCGTTAACCCCTCCCTGGACCTGTGCTTCCCAAGCTGCGACAGCATATGGGAAAATGGGAAAGAAAACAAGACAATGCTAACACCAGCAAAGGCATGAGACCACGAAGTGATGTGTGGATAAGAGGCTGACAGCAGAGTCTGCCTGTAAGGGTGAACTGACCCTGCTGTTGGAAACAGACAAGGAAGAACTCCCTGGGAAAAGTCAGTCTGAAAGTTGGCTCTCAGGATCTGCTTAGTTTGCAAAAGTCCTCCTGTCCCCCTGAGAGTACCCAGGTTTGCAATGTAAATGGGGCTCCCACAGCAAGCTCCGACAGCGTCTGCCTGTGTAAAGGGAGCTGGGGTTGGGAGACACGCCTGGTTGCCCTCTGGGGAGGTCCTAGAGCTCTGACTTCTCCCCAGGGCATCTGCTGATGTCTACAGGAGGGGCGGCTGTGTGCTCAGGTGGACACACAGAACAAGACAGCAGCATCACTAGAGTCCAGTGAAGTGGGAATCTGTCACCGATGCCTGCTCTTCCGGCCCAGGGCCCCCGCCCAGGGCCCACACCCATGCTCACCCTGCCGCTCTCCACAATCTCTCTTTGGAGGTCCTTAGAGGCCACGATCAGCACCTGAATAGCTTGCATGAGGCCTGTACAGCTACCAAGAATCCTGTCAAAGAAACAAAGTCAGGGATACACAGAGACCACGATTCAAGGTGAATGAACACGACTGTTCTCTTTTCGACCTGTAGCCAAAGGTGAGCTTGGAATGGGGAGGGGAGGTAAGGAAGGTGCTGAGATTGCTGGAACATTCTGGGGGGAGGCCCTGAAGGAGAGGCTGGGGAGTGAGAGCTCTGATTGCGGGTCTCCGTCGTAAGGAATAGTGTTTTTCCAAGGCTTCTTTTCTTTTTATTTTTTTTGAGACAGAGTCTTGCTCTGTTGCCCAGTTTGGAGTGCAGTGGCGCAATCTTGGCTCACTGTAACCTCTGCCTCCCAGGCTCAAGCGATTATCCTGCCTCAGCATCCCAAGTAGCTGGAATTACAGGCGTGCAGAACCATGTTGGGCTAGTTTTTATATTTTTAGTAAAGACGGGATTTCACCCCATTGGCCAGGCTGGTCTCAAACCCCCGACCTCAGGTGATCCTCCCTCCTCAGCCTCCTGAAGTGCTGTTTTGCAGACGTGAGCCACTGAGCCGGCCCGGGTTTCTTTTCTTCTACAGTGAAACAGCAATATGCTGTCATCATTAATACATCATTGATTATTACATCAACTCAGCACTTCCCTGTGGCTGCAACTGCTCTTCTCTAATTCCCTAATAAGTATGCGAAGTGCAGCCCAGTGCCAGGAAGACAGAACCTTGCTCCCCTGGGTCCCACCAGGCCGTGCGGACTGACCTTTCGTTCACCTCCAATTTGACTCCCGTGTCTCCTGCTCGGGATTTGCTGAGCATCTCCTGTTAAAAAGAAGCATGGTTTCTAAATGTACTTTGAATATTGAGAATCCACTAATGTCTTACTATACTTTCAATTCAACATCCTGTGGTAGCTGAGAAACCTGAATCTGGAAGTCCCCAAGTCCCTGCCCACATTCTTGAGAGAGTCAGTAAAACAATCCAGACTCTAATCTGTTCAGGGGGAGTACAGCTGCAACATGCTGGCTCTATGATCTGTGTCTTTTTTTTTTTTTTTTTGAGACAGAATCTCACTCTGTTGCCCAGGCTGGAGTGCAGTGGCGTGATCTTGGCTCACTGCAACCTCCACCTCCCAGGTTCAAGTGATTCTCCTGCCTCATCTTCTCAAGTAGCTGGGATTACAGGTGCCTGCCACCTACCCCATGCCCAGCTAATTTTTATATTTTTAGTAAAGATAGGGTTTCACCATGTTGGCCAGGATGGTCTCGAACTCCTAACCCCAAGTGATCTGCCCACCTTGGCCTCTCAAACTGTTAGGATTACAGGTGTGAGCCACCTCACCTGGCCCCACTCTTTCTTCTTATGACTGCCATCCTATAGAAATGGGATCTGAATCTTAGTAGGTGACTGTAATTAACGGAGGTTATACAACTAAGTGGTCAGTCTGCAACTTGAATCCAGGATGTTCTAAATTTTTTTTTCCCCAAAAAGGAGTCTTGCTCTGTTGCCCAGGCTGGAGAGCAGTTGTGCGATCTTCATTCACTGCAATCTCTGCCTCCCGGGTTCAAGCAATTCTCCTGCCTCAGCCTCCCAAGTAGGTGGGATTACAGGCATGTGACACCATGCCCTAATTTTTGTATTTTTAGTAGAGACCGGGTTTCACCATGTTGGCCAGGCTGGTCTTGAACTCCTGACCTCGTGATCTGCCTAGCTCAGCCTTCTAAACTGCTGGGATTACAGGCATGAGGTACTATGCCCAGCCAGAACCCAGGATGTTCTGACACCAAAGTATCAGATTCTTGAGGAAATGGATCACCTTCCCTCATGAGGACCTTCTCATTTTCTATCACTCAGAAAAACTAGTGAGTTCAGATTTTGGTCTCTCTCTCTCTTTTTTTTTTTTTACAATTTAAAAACATTTTTAGAGACAGGGTCTCAGTCTTTTCACGCAGGCTAGAGTGCAGTGGTGCAATCATGGCTCGCTGTAACCCCCCAACTCCTGGGCTCAAGTGATTCTCCTGCAGCCTCTGGAGTAGCTGGGACTGTAAGCATGTACCACCACGTCCAGCTAATTCTTTTCCTTTTTGTAGAGATGGGGTCTTGCTATGATGTCCAGGCTGGTCTTAGACTCCTAGACTCAAGTGATCTTCCCAACGTGCTGGGATTCCAGGCATGAGCCACTGTGCCTGGCAAATTCTGGTTTCTGTCTTCGGGGGTCACCATGGCCATAATGAACGACTATGGCATGTCTAATGAGCAGTGCTGCAGACAGGCAGCTGCAAACCTCCTACCTCTATTCTGGCTGTGGCGGTTGCAATAGCGGCTGAAGTGGCCGCCATCTCCTTGTCCACCAGGTCCCCCAGCTCCTCCTGCTTGATGTCCAGGCCCCTGGGCAGGAGTTCCTGTGAACACATCACAAAGGCAAAACTGACCCCGAGGCCTCCTCTGTCTTCTCCTCTGCCATCTGCAGCCCTTACAAGTTGGCAGAGGCAGGAGGCCACCCAGTGAACACCTTCGGCAAGCGTCGGGGGTTTCGGGGGGTTCTTTCACAGACCCCATCTGGTCCTCTCTGCGACGTGAACTCTGGAACCTCATGCTCCTCCTCACTTAGGACCCACCTCCTTCCAGAATGCCATCGCTGCCTCTTCCTGCAAGAGCATTCCGCCACCACTAAGACTCCAGTCCCTTAGTTGTGCAGCGTCAATTGTATTAGCTACACAGGAGGTATCTTTACAATTTTTTCTTTTTCTTTTTGAGGCAGATTCTCACTTTGTTGCCCAGGCTGGAGTGCAGTGGCACAATCTCAGCTCACTGCAACCTCCACCTCCCGAGTTCAAGTGATTCTCCTGCCTCAGCCTCCTGAGTAGCTGGGATTGTAGACATGCACCACCACACCCGGCTAATTTTTATATTTTTAGTAAAGACAGGTTTCACCATGTTGCCCAGGCTGGTCTCGAACTCCTGACCTCAGGTAATCCTCCCGCCTCAGCCTCCCAAAGTGCTGGGACTACAGGTGTGAGCCACCACGCCTGGCTGTAATTTTTTATTATTCTGAGACAGGGTCGTGCTCTCCAGAGATGGAGTGCTGTGGCATGATCACAGCTCACTGCAGCCTCGACCTCCTGTGCTCAAGCAATCCTCCCACCTCTGCCTACAGAGTAGCAGGGAGTACAGGAGTGCACTGTCATGCCTGGCCAATTGCTTTTTATAGTAGAGGTGGGGTCTCACTATGTTGCCGAGGCTGGTCTCGAATTCCTGGGCTCAAGTGATCCTCCCAGCTTGGTCTCCCAGTGTGCTGGGATTGAGTTACTGCACTTGGCCTAAACTTTTTCAAATGCTGATGATATATTCCACTTTGAACCTGACTTAACTTTGCTTCCATAGCAACCACATGAGGCAGTTACTATTCCTACCGTATAGATAGGAAGCCAAGGGTCCGAGGTAGAACCGCTTTACCACAGTCATGCTAATAAATGGCAGGGCAGGGATTTGAACTAAGCTCTGACTAATAGCAAAGGCCATGACTCTTTAAAACATGACGTGTTATACATACTAAGGTATAAAATATATATGTATGGTTCAAAGGATAAGAATAAAGATGCATGTTATCCACCACCCAACTTAAAACTTAAGGAACACTATAAGAAACATTATCAATACCTTTGAAATCCTCTTTGGACTTGTATGTGCCCTGATTCTACCTCCTTCCTCCCTGCCTTCTACCCCAAGAGACACAGAATTCAAGAAAGTGATTGTCATGTCTTATTTATTTATTAATTTTTGAGACATGGAGTCTCACTCTGTCACCCAGGCTGGAGAGCAGTGGCACGATTTCAGCTCACTGCAACCTCTGCCTCCCAGGTTCAAGCGATTCTCCTGCCTTAGCTTCCTGAGGAGATAGGATTACAGGCATGCGCCAACAGGCCCAGCTAATTTTTGTATTTTTAGTAGAGACTGGGTTTCACCATGTTGGCCAGGATGGCCTTGATCTCTTGACCTCGTGATCCACCCGCCTCGGCCTCCCGAAGTGCTGGGATTACAGGCGTGAGCCACCATGCCCTGCCCTGATCTTTGTTGTTCATTTTCTTTTTAGAGACAGAGTCTTACTCTGTCACCTGAAGTACAGCGGTGTGATCATGTTTCACTGCAGTCTTGAGCTCCTAGGCTTAGGTGGCCCTCCTGCCTCAGCCTCCTGAGTAGCTGGGACCACAAGTGCTCACCATCACACCTGGCTAACTTTTTTTATTTTTAGTAGTGATGGGGTTTTGCCATGTTTGCCAGGCTGGTCTCAAACTCCTGACCCCAGGTGATCCACCTACCTCGGTCTCCCAAAGTGCTGGGATTACAGGTGTGAGCCACCACGCCCAGCCCTATCCTCTTATTTTAACCAATATATTACAATTTATAACATTGGGGAAAAAATGGAAAAAAAATTCTACTGCAAAGAAATGGTTTTCTTATTTTTCTTTCCCATAGAGTCTATGTTTTCTCTGTCCCTATATAACTCTACCTGACCCAATTTCTGCTATACAGGACATACTCACTACTTACTGATTTATAGCAGAGGCAGGGTCTTGCTCTGCTGCCCAGGCTAGAGTGCAGTGGCACAATCATAGCTCACTGCGGCCTCCAACTCCTGGGCTCAAGTGATCCCCCTACCTCGGCATCCTGAATACCTGGGACTGCAGGTGCCTGATATCATGCCTGTCTAATTTTTAAATTTTTTTTATTTTGTAGAGACGGGGTCTCACTATGCTGACTAGGCTGATCTTGAACTCCTGTCCTCAAGTGATTCTCCTGCCTTGCCCTCCCAAAGTGCAGGGATTACAGGTGTGGGCCACCATGCTTGGTCACTACATCTTTAGTAAATGGATAAGTACACTGTTATTTCCATTTTGGGTATTACCTGCCCATCTGGATAAAAATCCTTGGAGACGGGGAGCTGCCTATATTTCTTTGATATTGTCTAGTATAGTGATGACAACACAGCAGATTCTCAGCTAACAGCCAGTGAATTCAATATAGCTGGAAAGTCCTTCAGGAGGCTAGGCTTTCCCTTTTTAAAAAAATTATTTAATTTAATTTAATTTTTTTTTTTTTTTTGAGATGGAGTCTTGCTGTCACCCAGGCTGGAGTACAGTAGCATGGTCTCAGCTCACTGCAGCCTCTGCCTTCCGGGTTCAAGCGATTCTCCTGCTTCAGCCTCCTGAATAGCTGGGATTACAGGCAGGCACCACCATGCTGGGCTAATGTTTGTATTTTTAGTAGAGACAGGTTTTCACTCTGTTGGCCAGCCTGGTCTCCAACTCCTGACCTCAAGTGATCTGCCCGCCTCAGCCTCCCAAAGTGCCTGGATTACAGGCATGAGCCACCGCACCCAGCCCGTTTAAAAAGTTTTTAATTTTTACTTTTAAAGAGGCAGGGTCTCATTTTGTTGCCCAGGCCTGTCTCAAACTTCTGGGTTCAAATGATCTTATTTTTCTTTTTCAGACAGATCTTGCTCTGTTGCCCAGGCTGGAGTGCAATGGTGCGATCTTGGCTCACTGCAACATCTGCCTCCTGGGTTCAAGTGATTCTCCTGCCTCGGCCTCCCGAGTAGCTAGGATTACAGGCAGGCACCACCATGCTGGGCTAATGTTTGTATTTTTAGTAGAGACAGATTTTCACTCTGTTGGCCAGCCTGGTCTCCAACTCCTGACCTCAAGTGATCTGCTCGCCTCAGCCTCCCAAAGTGCTGGGATTACAGGCATGAGTCACTGTGCCTGGCCTCAAGTGATCCTCCTGACTCGGCCTCCCAAAGTGCTGGGATTACAGGTGTAAGTCACTGCGCCTGGCCTCAAGTGATCCTCCGGACTCGGCCTCCCAAAGTGCTGGGATTACAGGCATGAGTCACTGCGCCTGGCCTCAAGTGATCCTCCTGACTCGGCCTCCCAAAGTGCTGGGATTACAGGCGTAAGTCACTGCGCCTGGCCAGATGTTCCAATTTTAACAATGTCTTTGTGGAATCAAGCTGTAAGTACAGAAAGAACTGCCTCAGAACATCGTCAGTTCCCTGGCCCTTCACCAGCATGCACACCCCGAAGAATAACAATGCTCCTCAATGATGCTACTGCGAGTACCTCGCCGATGGCCTTGATCTTGCTCAGGCAGTTCCTCATGGCTGTGCTGTCAGCATTCTCAAGCGTTCCCTCTTCTTCCAGGGAGGCCAGGTAGGTGAGGGTTTCCCTGCCGTACTGCTTACAGGCCTCGGTCAGTGCTAGAGATGCAAGGCAACAGACACTTTTTTTTTTTTTTTTTTTTTTTTTGAGATGGAGTCTTGCTGTCACCCAGGCTGGAGTGCAGTGGCTCGATCTTGGCTCACTGCAAACTCCACCTCCTGGGTTCAAGTGATTCTCTTGCCTCAGCCTCCTGAGTAGCTGGGATTACAGGTGCACTACCACACCCGGCTAATTTTTATATTTTTAGCAGAGACGGGGTTTCACCATGGTGGTCAGGCTGCTCTTGAACTCCTGATCTCAAGTGATCTGCCCACCTTGGCCTCCCAAAGTGCTGGGTTACAGGCATGAGCTACCATGCTCAGCCCAACAGAGACTTTTTTTTCTTTTTTTTTTTTTAAAAAAAGTGTTTCACTCTTGTTGTCCGGGCTGTAGTGCAATAGCGTGATCTCAACTCACTGCAACCTCCACCTCCAGGGTTCAAGTGATTCTCCTGCCTCAGCCTCCCGAGTAGATGGGATTACAGGCATGCACCAACATGCCCAGCTAATTTTTGTATTTTTAGTAGAGACGGGGTTTCTCCATGTTGTTCAGGCTGTTCTCGAACTCCCGACCTCAGGTGATCTGCCTGCTTCAGCCTCCCAAAGTGCTGGGGTTACAGGCGTGAGCCACCTCACCCAGGCCAACAGAGACTTTTAAAGACCCCCTGCTCCTCTGGTACATGAGCAGCCCCTCACACCCTGGTACTCACAGTCGGCAGGCTCAGGTGGGGCTCTGAGGCTGGTGGTGGCACCGTGAGCGATGGCATCGCTGCTCAAGTGGGCCAGCAAGGTTATGGAATGGAGAAGTCCACTGATGTCTGCCAGGAAAAGGAAGTTTCTCAGGTCTGGTTGATGATGTCACTTTCAGACCCTCTTCTCCCGTTTCATGAGTTACCTACACGCCTTTCCTGATGCAGGGGAAACTGTTCCCGCATTCAGGTGCTTCTGAACCCTGTCCCACCGTCACTAATGACAGAGACTCTCCTTGGCCCTTCTTACCTTCTGGGCAGGCCAGATACTGCCTCCAGCTTTTGTCCAGTTGCTCGATGCAGCTGGAAATGGACATGACCGCAGAGAGGAGGTGATCTGTGAGAGGGAACACAGCGTAAGGTCAGGGCAAGTTCTCACAGCTGGCTTCATCCTTGTCAATTAAGTGCCGAATGGAGGAGCTTACCTAGTGGGGAAGCTTCCTGCCTAGAGGTGAAGTTCATGAGCAACTACCTCTTGATTCAGAACATAGTTTTTTCCATACAGAAACACAGAAGTGTCCGCTCCTGGTGGATTTTCTTGTCAGTGTGACCCACTGTCTAAAGCAGTGGCTATCACACCCAGGGCCTTTAGAAGATACTACTGCTAGGCCTAGTGTGGTGGCTCATGCTTGTAATTCCAGCACTTTGGGAGGCCAAGGTGGGAGTTCAGAAGTTCGAGACCAGCCTGGCATATAGTGAGACCTCGTCTCTACCAAAGATTAAAAAATTAGCCAAGGCCAGGCATGGTGGCTCATGCCTGTAATCCCAGTACTTTGGGAGGTCAAGGTGGGTGGACTGCCTGAGCCCCGGTCTTCAGGACCAGTCTGGGCAACGTGGTGAAGCCCCATCTCTAAAAACAATATAAAAATTGGCTGGTGCAGTGGCTCACGCCTGTAATCCCAGCACTTTGGGAGACTGAGGCAGGTGGATCACAAGGTCAGGAGTTCTGGACTAGCCTGGCCAACACAGTGAAACCAAAAATACAAAACTTAGCTGGGCGTGGTGGCGCATGTCTGTAATCCCAGCTACTCAGGAGGCTGAGGCAAGAGAATTGCTTGAGCCTGGGAGGCGGAGGTTGCAGTGAGCCGCGTTTGCACCATTGCACTCCAGGCTGGGAGACAAGAGCAAGACTCCATCTCAAAAACAAAACAAAAACAAAAATTAGCTGGGCGTGGCATTACGTGCCTGTAGTTCCAGCTACTTGGGAGACTGAGTGGGGTGGATTTCTTGAGCCCAGGAAGCAGAGGTTGCAGTAGGTCACTGCACTGCACTCCAGCCTAGGCAACAGACGAAGACCCTATTTCAAAAGAAAAAAAAAAAAAAGAAAATACTAGTGTACAGGCCCTAATGCACAGAGTTTCCAAATTTAACTGATCTAGGATGGGGCCTGGGCACCCCTAAGGTAATGCTGACATGCCACTGAGCTGAGTGCCCCTGTGCTAAGTCTCATGTGAGACTGTACATCAACAGAGTCTCAGTCTGTAAGGACCTGGCCCCTGCCAGCTGAGCAATTGCAAGTATACCTGCAGACCCAGCACAGCTGATGAGAGGGGGCTCTTCAAGCTGGTTCAGGGCGTCTTGTATCACCTGCTCCGCAGCCTTCCTGGACCCCACCAGAAGCATTTTTCGTTGGTCTTTCACAAGCTGGCACATAGATTCCTGAAAAGGGTCCAGGGAGGTGAGACTCTGCCCTAGACTCCATAATGAACCTGAGCAGCATGACCTGGTTGGAGCTCTGTAGGAGTTCAGTCAGGGTGGTGGGAGAAATTGTAGGAAAAGGATGTAAACCTTGGAAGGCTGGGAGGTTTTTGCAAAAGCCTTGGGAAGGAAGCTATGGCTGAAGGCAGCCTAATCCCCTTTCCTTGAGCAAACAGCTATTGAGCAGATACAAAGGAATGCAGGGGGGTTTATCTAAAGAGCTTGTTTACTCATGTGGTCCTAAGACCGACCTTTGAACATAAACGGGTAGATGACTGCTCTCTACTCGGGGGGTCAGCAAAGTTAATTACCCACAAATGGTGTTTGCTTTAGGCCTTTGTCATTAAATCTGTACTAAACAAAGGCCCATGGGTCTGGCTGGTGGGGGCCACGGCTGCTGACTCTTTACAGCATCCTCCTCGGTGTCTATAAGTGGCCTGGTCCCCTAGCCTGCTCTTTCACTGGCTATGTGTGTCTGAGTGCGTTTGTTCATCCTTCGCTGGGTCAGGGTCTGCAGGGCGGACCCGACAGAGCTCCTGGCATCGTAGCTGAAGTCATGGCCAGTGAGGTCCAAGCCAGTTAGCCTGAGACAGAGACAGTTGCTTTAACTCTGTGCACGGGGTATGCTGCTGCCCACAGAGGCTGGGGGAACGGATTACTGCATCCCCTTCTCATGCCTGGGAGCGAATGCCAAATTTCCCTTGTCATACAAAAAAGAGAGCACTCTGCTTTCCCTCATGGTCTCTGCAGGCGGTGCAGGGCCTGCTGGCATTAGGGGCGGGCATTATACCTACAGAATGCCTTCACAATCAGGCCAAGCCCCACCCCCCTTCACAGCAGCCCCAGAGTCTTCCTGGCCTCCGTGCACGTGCAGAGCCCTTGGTGGGAGTTCACAGGTGCTCGCTCGCTTCCGCGTCCATTACTTGCCTCTGTGCTGGCCAGTTTGAGCTGGGTGTCCTGAAGTTCTTTCTGAAGAGCGGATAATTCCTCCTCCCTATGAGCTGCGCCACTCACCAGGCTGTCCCGCTCCTTCTCCAGCTCGGTGATCTGGGCTGCCCAGTTTGCTTCGGACTGCAAAGGTGACCGCAAGGAAAGAGGGAGACGCTGGTTGGGTTAAACAGTCCCCACTTCCCAGAGTTCCAACCCACCACCTGGCTACAAGGACTGGGAGGTGATGGCTCTTGAACCTGCCACTCTGATTCCCTCCCGAGGATGCTCTGATTGCAGCTGGGGCTGACTTGGCCAGGCCAAGGATGGTGGATGACAGCAATGCCAAAGCCAGGAGTGGGGCAAGAAAGGAGGCCAGCCATGGAGGCTCATGCCTGCAATCCCAGCAATTTAGGAGGCCGAGGTGGGAGGATCACTTAAGCCCTGGAGTTTGAGACCGGCCTGGTCAACATAGTGAAAGCCGGGTGTAGTGGTGTGTGCCTATAGTCCCAGATATTTTGGGGGCTAAGTGGGAGGATCAACTGAGCCCAGGGAGGTGGAGGCTGCAGTGAGCTGAAATTGCGCCACTGCATTCCAGTTTGGGTGATGGAGGAAGACCCTG